GGATAAACTCAATACTAAACGCCCTGTGGTTTTATTTTCCAATGACTGCCACACCCTACTCGCAAACAGTCGTGCATTAGAACTTTTCGGTATCACCAGAGAAACTCCAGAACCACCCGATGGGAAAATTGGTAAATATGAAAATGGTGAGCTCAACGGTATTTTAGAAGATGCCCCAGCCATGCGTGCGGCTGATAGCATACCTTCCATTCGCGATGACCAAGCTGTCGAAGTTGCCACGCTCGTGCAAAAAGTGCTGAATCAACAAGGTGTCACAATGGTGATGGATGCGCGTGTTTCAGAACAGCAATTAGCTGCTTTCACGCAACTTCAGCAACGCGGTGAGCTGACCTTACGTTTTCAAGCAGCGCGTGAAATCACCCCAGATGAAACGCCAAATGTCGCATCGGTCGCTGCCGCTGTTGATAAAGCGGTTGCTTTTGCCCAAAAATGGCATCAGGCCGAATGGACGCCTGCGCCGGGTATCGGCCTTAACAATATCAAAATGTTCGTTGATGGTGTCATGCAGTTCCCAACCATGACTGCATCATTATTACAGCCATATCGTGTCAATAAAGGGACTGATGACGCCCCAAACTGGGTTGAAACAGATAACTATGGCGACCTTTATTTCACCGCTGAAATCCTTGATGAACTGATGGAAAAAATTGCCGCAGCAGGTTACGACCCTCACTTACATACCGTCGGTGAAGGTGCTGTTTCCATTGTATTGGATGCCATAGAAAAAATGCGCGCAGCTCACCCAGAAAAAGATATTCGTCCTGGGCTTGCTCATAACGAACTGGTTCATGCAGATGACTACGCACGTTTTGCTCGCCTAAAAACGATTGCCTGTCTTTCATTCCAGTGGGCAGCACCAACGCCTGAATTAGCTGAATTTGAGAAAAACATGCTAGGCGAGGAACGTTTTCAACAGCTTGAGCCTATCGCCAAATTTGTTGATGCAGGTGCCGTTGTGGCATTCGGTAGCGATTGGCCAATTGATGATTTTGATGAATGGTACGATTTGAAAGTCGCTGCAACACGCCGTGGTCGCGATATTAATGGCCAAAAAGCGCCTCGTTTAGATAATGATCGTGATCTTACTGTCATTGAAGTATTACGCTCTGCAACGATTGATTCTGCGTTTGCCCAACACCGCGAAGATGTTCTTGGTTCGTTAGAAGTGGGGAAATTTGCTGATATGATTGTTCTTGACCGCAATGTCTTTGAGATACCGGCTGACGATATTGAAAATGTTAAAGTGCTGCGTACCATCGTAGGCGGGAAAACTGTTCATATTGCTTAAATCCTTCGAGTTGCAGGGGGACTACCTGCAACCTGCATGATTTCGGGTATATCTATTTAAATCTAGCCCCTTAAATAATTTAATTAAGGGGCTTTCTTATAAGTATAAAAATATTATCGCCTTATTATTTATAGAGTAACGATTTATTTACGGTGCTTATCGAAATACTCTTTTTGTTTTGTTTCAAGAACATGTTCATTCCACTCATCACAGCTTGTCATTTTCACATTTACTTTGCACATTAATATAATAATGCACAATACCGTTAAAAGAATTATTACAATTTGTAGTTTAGTCATCATGACACCTTGTATTGATTAATCATTAAATGGGTGCTTAGATCCTCCACCAAACAATTGAGTGAGAAAATGTGAGGGAGATATCTCCCTCACAAGGCATTAATTCTCTTCGTAAGAGAATACTGCCTGAACTCTTGAGTATTCATCACCCGCATTTATTGAAAAACGCTTATTTCCCAGAATGATGAAAGAACTCAA